GGGCCGGAAGCGGCGGATCTCGCGAGAGCGGCGCCGGGGCGGAAGGGGCGAGAAGCCCCGCCCCCCGCAGCCTCTGGCAGCGCTTCCGCCCTCGCTTCCCTTAAAGGGGCCGCGCCCCGCAGGAACGCGGGCGACCGGGTGTAACGGGGGGGATCGGCGCTGGTACGGAGAACGGCTACACGGTGGTGCAGGAACCCGCTGGTTGGGGAGAGGGTTCTGTTTGAGGGACAGACCCGCCTCTTCCCCCATAAACCTGCTCCTCCTCATCCAGGGCAGACAGCGGGCGCTGCCCAAAGCGAGGGGCAGAGCACCAGGAGGAGGGATGAGCCTGCAGCAGTTTCGGAGCCGAAGGGCAGCTTATGTTCCATGGGGTGGTACTGTGAAACTGCTCCTTCCCGCTGCCCCGAAGGTAGGACCCAACAGCAGCAGCAGCGAGGGATCCCAAAGTCACCTTCCCGGCACAACTACGCGGTGCTGCAGCCGCACACGGACCTCACCACCACACCGGGCGGGCTCCGAGCGTCCGTCACCCAGCCCTGCTCAGGCCAACACCCGCTTGGCTTGTGGGAAGGCAGCAGCCTTCATCTTTCAGTGATGGACCTCCATCTTCCGCTGCCTTCCTGCTTCCCACACGAGCCGGGCAGCTTTTCCAGCTCAGGCTCCGAGCGGAGGTTTGAAGCGAGGGCGGACATTACAGGCATGGCCGGAGAGCAGAACGGACGACAAAGCCACCCCACGGTAGCACCAAGTGCCTCTTCCTTCCCGTCACGAGGACATCACTCTCCACCAGCCTGCGGCCCCATCCTGCTCGCAGGCTGACTCAGCAAGCGCCGAGCCGAGGCGCGGCAGGCAAGTGCCGGCTCATCTCTTGGCACAGGCCGATTTGGTTTGTCCCTGGGCAGAGGCGAGTTTCAGGTGGACGTAATGGCCTGCGCTAACCTGGAAGAGCTGGTTCTGCGCAGAAGGTATCGGTCTCCGAAACCTTTTATCCAAGAAGAGCTTGCGAGGCGGCAGAGCAGCGACGACTTCAGGTCTCCTTCCATTCCGCGTGTCGTTGAAGCGCCACGGTTTTGAACTATGCCACTTTCCGCGGTGGGTTTCACACAGCAACGAATTACAAACCGAACCTCAACGGGGAAATCCAAGCGGTCGCGCCACATCGAAGGCGGAGCACGAAGTTAGACCTGTGCAAAGAGAACACAAGGAGCAGCTCCCGTTCTGGCAGGGAAGCACCCTGCACTTTGTGCTCGTGGAAGTAACGGAGCGAGGAGCAGAGCCGAGAGGATTCACAGCGAGCGGAACCGGTACGATCCAAACACGCAACCACGAAAAACCTCTGAACTGACCGAAGTCCTTCCGAGAGCAACCCAGTGACCTCCGGCGGGTACATCCCAACACATCCCGAATTTCACGTCATGCTGAGCAACGCCACGGCTGCTCCTGCAAAAAGTCTTTTAAACTCGCAGCAGCGCGCTGTCCACTCCTGAAGAGTTAAGCCCTATTAACCGCGATTAACGAGAGCGGGGAGGACTAACAAGCCCAGACGCACACCCAGCGGCACACAGCCCCTGGGAGAAGGTTCCTTGGAGAAGATCTGGTTTTGACACAGCAGCCTGCCTCGGACTCGCGTATGAAGGAGGGACAACACGGAGCACGCTGTTGCCTTTGAGCCGACGACCCGTGTCGCTACACAGGGCTCATCTATCACGTTAGGACAGTTCGTTTCCCGTGGGCTTAACCCCGCATTTAAGCGAGAGGAACGCTGGAGCAGTGTTCTGGAAGACCCAGGTCAAATAGTTATGGACACTAATGTACACAGCAAGATGCTCATGAACCCACGTTTTACGCTGCTCTCAGCAGTTACAGAGAAACCCCCCAAAAAGGAGGTACACGGTAACCCGATCATCAGTCCGAGGTAGCGAGAGCACGCTACTGCATCAGGGCAGAAATTAAGAACGTGACCCCCGAGTAAGCGCTAGTAGATCACGTCACCAGCAAGGTCACCTCTGAATTTCAGAGGTGGGGAAAGAGAGAAGAGGGGCACTCTCCTGGAGGTGCACAAATCCGTGAGCTAGCTACACGTGCTCCTCGTAGCTTGTAAGGCTGCATTTTTCCACAGTGCCTCGAAGCCTCAAGGCCAGATGAAGAGCAGCATTCAACCCGTCGCTGCTATCAACGTGCGAATGACCTAACGCGCACAGACCCGCCCGCAGCTCTGGCGACAGGCGCGCCAACAGGTTTAGGAGACTCCAAGCAACGGCCCTTCACCACGTCCAATCCAATCCAGGTCAGAGCCAGCAACGTGCTGCGACGGCTCTTCAGCCTCTACAAAGCAAATCCGACAGTGCCACCCCAGACCCTGCACCAGCACTGCTGATTCTCTCACGAAGAGGGCAAGAGTTGAGTGGGCATGAAGAATTGCTGACTTAATTCCACTGCTAGCAGCTTAACAGTCCATTGAGGCACAGCGTAAGCCTGTATACTGATGTTAAGACAAGATTTTCAAGGCTGCCAATTGATTTCTCATGAAAACACAAATTCACAAGAAACTTTTTTGTCAAAAGAAAAAAAAAAAGTGGAGACAGGCTTGTGTTTCTAATCCAAATGTACTTCTCTTTATTCAAACCAGGGGTAATCACTGGTCAGTGCAAAATGCACCTAAACCTTTTGCCTGAGGGAAATCTACATCTTAACAAGGCCTCCGTTAACCCCAATGAAATCCACAGAGGATTTGAAAGCGTTTGAAGCACAGATCTAACACTGCGCTTCGTAAGTGACTCTGTGCGTCAACAAGTCTGCACCTGCCTTGTTACCAGTTCTATACCATCAGGTAACAAAAGCAAAATACACTCAGTAGATTTCTTTTAACTCCCAGAGTTTCTGAACCATCCGCCCCACCACTAATGTCAGGAGTAAGGGGGTTGCAGCTTACCCTCACTTCCAACAGTGCTAACGGAAACCCTGTTTTAAATTAAAAAATAAGCCAGCATACATAGTAGAAAATTTCTCTTAAAAATTTCACAATCTGTAAATGTATATATTTTTTTCTTTTAAACATAAAAGTTTACAATATACGGTAAAACAAAGGCTCAGGAAAAATAATTTCAAAAAAAAGAAACCTGAAGTTTTGAATTAAAGCTGAAGACATTTTTAAAACCCTGTAGTTTGAACCAGTGACATTTTCTTTATTTGTGCTGATGGGTTAGAGAAAGGAAAATATTTAAAAACTGCAGTCCAAACACCCACAGCTTTGCCTTCAGAAGCCATCTTCCCCCACCCCCCAAAAAAAAAATGTTGTTAGGTTTTTCTTCCATCAAGTATGTGATTGTCACAAGTTCAGAAGTCTGGGATTCCTGGGTTCAGCTGGTACCAGACATCCCTGTGTGGACAGAATTCCCTGATTGCCAGCCCACGCTAGCGCCTGTAGGGGTGAAATCCTTGCACGTTATGGTTCTGTCCTCGTCCAAAACCACTTCCTCCTGCAGGTGGGCCACTTGATGGTTGCACCGAGGGGCCTCCGTAGGGAGGGGGTTGCTGGCTGGGATCAGAGAAACCTTGTCCAAAACCACTCAAGTCTTGTCCATACCCTGGGGAGAAGGGAGAAAGGCGGCAGAGTAAGCTTCCAGTGTCACCCACACGCACAACAACAGAGGCACAAATGCAAAACCTGACGCCGCTCCCTCCCCCCATGCACGGCCTCAGGAACAGACACCTCTGTCTAACACGTTAAGATAAGCAGCTGCTTTCAGTTCTTGCGATTATCTACCTTCTCATACAGAACAAACAAGCAAAAAGCCGAACTGAATAGGTATGCAGAAATGGTCGTTTTCACTTTTGAGGTAATCCTACCCAGGCTGGTAGTTAAACTATCCTATTATGGCTGTTCAGAAGCTTCAAGTGGCTTGCAGGTTTGCTGTCAGCTCATTCCGAATAGTTGTTTTGTTTTGGTTTGGGTTGTTTATTGCTAAAAGCTAGTACTGTCAGGTTTAGCAGAGATGAAAATGTGGCAAGGAAGTTCTTCCTGAAACCTCACAGCTATTAAACTGCAGCGCCTCAGACTGACTGCACAGAGTTACTCGACTCTGGCTTTGTAGAGCCAGCTTCACCATCTCCCCTGGACAGTCAAAAAACTTCCTTCGCTGAAAAGACTCGCTGAAGAAGACAATCTTAAA